AAAGTTGCAAATAAATTGTTTATAGTATTCTACTAATTCTAGAAAAGATCATAACTGAGTTACATTCTTAGGAGGCAGGATTTGTTGAACAGCTTCGATTTTCTCTGGGTCTGGGGCAATTCCTTTAGGTGATATGATGTGTCCTAGAAATGGTAATCTTTGCATCCAAAAATTACATTTCTCTATATTTAATCGTAATCCGGCACGTCTGATTCTAGTAAAGACTTCACAGAGGTGTTGTAAATGTTCATCAAAGGTCTTAGAAAATACAGTCAGGGAATATACCAAATTAGAGAATCAACGTGTAGATCATTCTAGAATCGGATGTTCACATTTGATTGGTTCTTGCGCACATTTTTGCAGAAATTTTTTATTCGTTTAATTTATTACTACAAACTCACAAATAGATACATAAGTAGGTTGTAGAAGACGTTTAGCTTAAATAATCCACAATAATACACTCCATTTTACCTTTGCTAAAAAAGTAGATGAGAGCCGAAATCTGAAGTTCTGTTTGTATATAGACGCTTAATCTTACTGAAATGGTGTTCAATAAACTGCTTTTATTTCGCTATATTCGTGCTTAATTACTACAGTGCAGAACTATAGAACGTTTAGTAATTTATTAAACCAAATTTTTTCTACTACAATAGGTAAAGCTTAGAATTTACTTAACGTATGAAAGATCAAAAGCCTAATCTGCATTTAGTTGGGCTTCAATTTTATTATTTATTATTAATTTGCCCAAATTTTAAGCTTAGTTTTATTAGTTTATCGCCCGTGCACAATCTTTTATTCAAGTCGATTCAGGTATTATTATTTATTAATTGATGGCTACAGCATTATATTTAGTTTTGGTTGGGAATCAGCATTTCTTTTAGAGTTTATAACCAAAACTCAAAATATATTCTATTAATATCCTATCTGTAAATAGTGTTAGACTCAAAAATCGAATTTAAATTGGATTAAACATAATAAAAAATGTATTAGATGTTGCATAATTAAAAAACAGTTTTATAATGCCAATTTCATTATGCTTCGAATCCAAATTCTAGAATCATCTGACTGAAGATCATTACCAAATTAGGTGTGATCATCAATGACCGAATTCGGTATATTCCCTAACTGAAATACAATAGTATTGTCTAGGTATACTACTACGAATCTCTATGCAATCTTGTTATAAACTTGGTCTATTAATCTTTGAAAGGTTGCAGAAGCATTACACAGTCCAAAGAGCATGACATTAAACTCATAAGTTCCATAGGAGTAACAAATGCAGTCTTTTCTCGATCTCTTGGGTGCATAGTTACTTGCTAATATCCACTAGCGAGATCTAGTGTAGAAAACCAATGAGATCCGGCGAGAGTGTTTAACATCTCATCAATTCGAGGCAACGGGTAGGCATCTTTCTTAGTTATGCCATTTAGCTTTCTGTAGTCCATACAGAAACGTAATTTACTATTCTTCTTTCATACTAATACAATAGGTGAGGTCCATGGGCTATTCGATGGTTGTATTAGCTTATTGTCTAGCATACGTTGTATTTCTTCTTTAACGAATGCTTGTTCACTAGGAGGTATCGAATAAGGTCGAGAGTTAATAGGGGGTACATCTTCGATATAAATTCGATGAGTAACTAGGTTAGTTCATCCTAGTTCATTAATATCTGATGCGAATAAGTCTGCAAATTCTTCTAAGAGTTGTCTGAATCTTCTTCCTTTATCTTCTGAGAGAGGTCCAATATTTACTGATGTTTCTTTTAAGGTCGTATACTCTTCATAGAGAATAAGAGTATCAATAGCATACACATATCTAGGAGTCAGGGCAGAGTCATTAATGTTTGTGTCCTCAGGTAGTTTTTCATCTTATCTGAGATTATCTAAAAATTTTGTGACTCTGTAAAGGTAGCAAATTGAGCAGCACACTGGTTAGCATACAAATTATCTTCTCTCCATAGTTGCATAAGCTGTTGGTTAAAATTCTCAAGGGTTTCAACCTTTTGTTGCAGCTGTGCAATAAGCTGACTTTGATAAGCTACTTGTTGTTGAAGT